CAGAATGGAAGAAAATATTTGCAAATGAAGCAACTGAGAAGGGATTAATCTCCAAAATACACAAACAGCTCATGCAGCTCAATAACAACAAAAAAACCCCAGCCCAATCAAAAAATGGATGGAAGATATAAATAGACATTTCTCCAAAGAAGACCTACAGATGGCCAAAAAGCATATGAAAAGATGTTCAATACAACTAGTTATTAGAGAAATGCAAATCAAAACTACAATGAGGTATTACCTCACACCAGTCAGAATGGCCATCATCAAAAAATCTATAAACAACAAATGCTGGAGAGGGTGTAGAGAAAAGGGAACCCTTCTACACTGTTGGCTGGAATGTAAATTGATTCAACCACTATGGAGAACAGTATGGAGGTTCCTTAAAAACCTAAAAATAGAGCTATCATATGATCCAGCAATCCCACTTCTGGGCATATACCTGGAGAAAACCATAATTCGAAAACATACATGCACCCCAATGTTCACTGCAGCACTATTTACAATAGCCAGGACATGGAAGCAACCTAAATGTCCATCTACATATGGATGAATGGATAAAGATGTGGTACAAATATACAATGGAATATTACTCAGTCATTAAAAAGAACAAAATAATGCCAGTTGCAGTGACAGGGATGGACCTAGAGACTGTCATACTGAGGGCAATAAGTCAGAGAAGGACAAATATCATATGATATCGCTTATATGTGGAATCTAAAAAAACGGTACAAATGAACTTATTTACAAAACAGAAATAGAGGCACAGGTGTAGAAAACAATCTTATGGTTACCTGGGGAAATAGTGGGGAGGCATAAACTAGGAGATTGGGATTGACATATACACATTACTATATGTAAAACAGATAACTAATAAGGACCTACTGTATAGCACAGGGAAAAACAGTGGATATATATATATATATATATATATATATATATATATATATACAAAGTCCTACTGTAGAGCGCAGGGAATATAAAACTGATTCACTTTGCTGTACACCTGAAACTAATGGAACATTGTAAATCAACTATACCCCAATAAGATTTTTTTTTTAATTTAAAAGAATTAACTATGTGAGGTGATGGATGTTATCTTGATCTTGGTAATAATTCCACAATGTATATCAAATCAACACATTGTACATTTTCATATATGCAATTATATTGGTCGATTATTCCCAGTTATTTCTCAATAAAGTTAAAAAATACCATAAAGCTTCTATCATTAAAATAATGTGACAATTGCACAGGAATAGACAACGATTCAAGTGAAACAGAAAACAAAGTCCAGACATAGACCCAGTAACCATGGAAATGTACTATATGATAGGGGTGGCATCTTAAAATCACTGAAGCAAAGACAAATTGCTTAACAAATGGTTCTGGGACAATTGATAAGCCATTTAGGAAAAGATAAAATTAAACATATATAACACAATATTCACAATAAAAAAACTCCAAGTAATTTGCTCAAGGTACTCAGGCTAACTCCTCAATTCTCATTCAGAAGATATCTCAAAAGCACTGTACTTTCCAGATATTAACTTAAGCCTTTCATCACCCAATAATTAACAAAAGCTATCACAGAAGTATATACCTAGGACTATCATTTTGGCCTCTAATAGGATTACTTTTACTAGATTGTACTTTGACATTATGATAGCAATCTAAACTCAAATATGGAAATCACACAATATCATGAATTGTTGCCCTTCTTCTGTACAAGTGATATGTTTTTATCCAAGGGAGAAGAAAAGCATATAACTGACCATGTTTCATTGTTTTGCCCAGTAGAAAGTCGAGATTCAAGTTTGCAATTCAGTTCTAATGAACTGTACTGAACTTTGTGGCTGTATTTTGGGGAAAAGGTTTTTCAGTCTCAGCTGAGTTTTTAACGCAAGTCAGAAATTGTTACTAGTCCCTGGTTCCCTTCCCTGCTTAGTCCTCACAGAACTCTTCAAGCGCCCTCCTTCTGCATGCACACCTTTCTCCCACTCTTGGGATTTAGTATCCTACTTACAGAGAACACAGATTCTATCCTATTTGACCTCTTTCAACATCTTTTTCCTTTTAAAACAAATCCCTACACTTGTACTATGCATAACTTATTTATTCTTGATCTTCCTTGCTTTTCAGAGAAATGCACTGACGTCTGTGAATTTCCCTCTAGGTGCTGCTTTAGGTACAACACAGATTTTATAATGATTTGTTACTTAATTCTAAATATTTTCTAATTTCCATTGTGATTTTTTTCTTCTCATGATGTTTTTAAGTTACCAAAGTTTATTTTACTGCTCTTAATACTGTCATTTTAAAACTTAATTGCACTGTAAACAGAGAATATAGCCTTCTGGAGTTGAGGGTCCAGGTGTAGTATTTTTGAACCTTGTTTTATAAAGCCTAAATTATTTCGTCTATTACAAGTGCGTCATCTAATAACTTTACGTGGATGACTATACAAACGTGTATCTCTAGTTCACTCTTTTGAGTGTCAGGTCTACAATTTTCTATACACTTATGAGACTAATTTCCTGTATGTCCTATAGGCACTTCACCCCTAACAAAGTCAAAACCAAAGCATTATCTCCACCCACCCTGAGTATCCTCCTCCTTCTTTTTTATTCTCTATTTTTAGAATGGTGATCTACATTCTACATAACTGTTCAAGCAAGAATTATTAAATTTGTTTTTTATTCCTCTCTCACACAAGCTGAATGAACTGAACTGAGTGATTCAACTGCTGTGAATTATATTTCCTAATTATTTCTTGAAGCCACCCTTTCCTCTCTGTTATTACAGGGCCTCATCATTAATCCCCTGGCCTTGCATTATACTCCCAAGCAGCCTTAGTCCTGTCATCTCTCCCTCTCTCCTTCTCTTTTATCTTTACTCCTTCTACCACTTATATGTTGAAATGCATGTCTGATAAGTTCATTCCTTTGATTAAAAATCCTTGATCACTGTCTACAGGATAAAGTCAAAATACAGCACAAGATATAAGATCCTTTACCTGAGAAAATTCATCTACTGTGCAAGTAGAAACTTTTCAGGCTTGATATACAGTTAAACATGCTATTTTAAATTCTTAGACATATAATTCTATTGAAAGCCTAATGTCAAGAAGTATTTAAATAGAGCTGTTGCCTCATATATGATATCCTACATCCTATATTCTTATGATCAAGAAGAAGTTATGATATTTGGATTAGGCCGCATTTCCCAAAACAGCCTGGAACCAATTATTGAGAGAATACAGGTTACATCTTTAGCCCCATCAAAAAATTTAAAATAGGTAAGGAGGAAGAATGGGCACAGGTTAGGGTTTACTACCTTGCAGGAGTCAAAGACAATAAGGCAATGTTTTGAATCATGACTGCAAATCATAAAATCTCAAAGGCAACAGAGGAAAAAAATTTTTTGGAAAATTAAGTAAAAACATGGCCCGGGCTTCCCTGGTGGCGCAGTGGTTGGGAGTCCGCCTGCCGATGCGGGGCGGCGCGGGTTCAGGAAGATCCCACGTGCCGCGCAGCGGCTGGGCCCGTGAGCCATGGCCGCTGGGCCTGCGCGTCCGGAGCCTGTGCTCCGCAGTGGGGGAGACCACAACAGTGAGAGGCCTGTGTTCCGCAAAAAAAAAAAAAAAACATGGCCCATGTATCCTTTAACCTGGCTTTATATAAAAGAAGAAAACGATCCAAAACCATACTGATAACAAGGAGGTGACACAGTCCTTCCTAGGACACATATCATCTGTAACTAAAATTACAACAGAATAATCCATGTTCATAAAATTAACCTTTAAAGATAATAAAAGATAAATTAGGTTCTGTAGCCTCAGTATGAGAACACAGGTAAATATGATTCATTCCAGGAAGGTTTTCATGACAAATGATTAAACGAATGTAGGCTCATAAAAGATAAACTTATATTAATCTGTTAATTACTACTTTGTTCGTTAATAATCATTTTTATTACTCAAAACAATTTCCTTCTTTCCAGAATGATGACATCAACACATTGCTGTATTTTACCTGCTATTACCTCTCTATTATTAAAAGTAGATACAATGTAGTTTTTTAGATTTTTGAACTATCAACATCCAATACGTTTTTAAATTAGACAATAAGTAAGAATAGGTATTTGCTAAAGAAATCAGCCAACCCTGAAAGACAGCTGTGGAATAAGAAACAGACCTTACAGTTTACAAAGAAAGGGAGAAAACACCAGGACGGTACTATTCCTAGAAACTATGCCTACTGCTTTGACACTATGGGGACTTTATTGCTCTGATTTATTTATTGTGAAGCCAAATTCACTTTCTCACTGTTAATGCTGTATCTATGACTCTGGATCAGATGTGAATGTGTATTTATATGTTTATGTATGCATATGTTTTGGTTTATATTTTTGAACTAGGGTGAGCTTCAGAAGCTTTATCTCTATGTAGTATATCTTTGACTCATAAAATGATTTTATTTTTAAAAACTTAAATGTTTCATCTCAGAAGCTCATGTCCTATGTAGTCTTAAGAAAAAGCCCCTCTACATCAAGCATCAAGCCAAAGTAAGAATTTCAAATATACAAGCAAATCTGATATATGTGCTACAGACTTAATTGTATTTATTCTAGAATATGAGATCCAAATGATATATGCATATTAAAAAATTGGAAGCATTCTGCATTAAAAATTCAGTGGCGTTTAGGTCCTGAAATTTGATTTCAAGCTCCAAGCATGTGTTATTAGTAGTCATTGTGCAGAACAAATAAATCAGCTGTGACCTAACCAGGACTATAATGCAGCTAATACCTTTTCTATTTTCTAGAGATCACTGTTGCATACCTCCTGACATAACAGAAAAAATTTAGTCCAAACTATTTTCAAAGATATAAACTTTAAAGAGAATCTTTCTTAAACCTATTACGTAAAAGCATGTTTTACTAGTCAAGTTTAATTTCTATATTTATTTAAATTAATTATATTCCCACCAACATTTTACCTCTGGTCCTCGAGAGCCAGGTGGTCCTTGGGGTCCTGGGTTACCTGTTTGGCCCTAAAACGTGGGGGTGGGTGGGAGAAATCAAAGTATAAACATTAATTTAATAAATATGATTTAAAAAGGAAACATATGGTAAGCAAAAAGCACTAAATATATTATGCCACACAAAGTTGTAATGACTTTCTGGCAAACAACACTCAATATATAATAATATGCCAAAGTTTTAACGACTATTCAGAAAGACTTAATTTATAACCATCATCATTGTAGAAAACATTATATAGAGATATGTGTCCATATATATATATATATATATATATATATATATATTCACTCCTAAATGTTAGGGCTACAAACAAATAAATGGAAATCAAATCAAGGAAAAAAATTGTGTGTGTGGGTACGTGTTACCCAGAGATAAGACGGTAAACTTTTTTGTTTTTTTGTTTTGTTTTGTTTTGTTTTTTTTGTTTTTTGTTTTTTGTTTTTTTGCGGTACGTGGGCCCCTCACTGCTGCGGCCTCTCCCGCTGCGGAGCACAGGCTCCGGACGCGCAGGCCCAGCGGCCATGGCCCACGGGCCCAGCCGCTCCACGGCATGCGGGATCCCCCCGGACCGGGGCACGAACCCGCGTCCCCCGCACCGGCAGGCGGACCCCCAACCACTGCGCCACCAGGGAAGCCCAAGACGGTAAACTTTGACTTAACAAAGTAGGGAACTCTAGATGAAGAACTGTTCCCATAAATAGCCAGGGTCCTCTGATTGTCTCTGAAAATTCCTTTCTCCTTTCATAACTATAAGGGGCCTGATTTTGTAATTAAGAATCACCTGGATTTAAATCCTTGTTGCTTAATCTCTCTCAGCCTCAGTTGTCTCACCAATAAAACATGAATAATAACAACAGTAGTAACATTCTTACAGAGTCACTGTAAGGATTAAATGAGACAATAAATGTGTAAGTGTTAAGCACAGTGCCTAGCACATAGAAAGTACTCACTAAATGTTAATCAATTTCATAACCATTAATCCTTCCCTTCACATCCTCTCTCCTCTCCTGGATGATACCTAGAATTCCTAGATTGCTTTAATCCTTTAACTAAACTTCTGAGGATTCACTTTCAATAACTCTGCAGCCATTTTCTGACATTAAGGCTATAACGATGTGAAATCAGGGCTGGAGAAGAAGGTCTGAGGAAAGAGAAGTGGGTAAAAGCCTGCTGCTAGAGAGGGCTGGTGATGCTCTCAAGAGAGGAAACCACAAAACAGGGAAGGCCGGTAGTCTGATACCCTTGTTTTCATAAAAAATATTGAATTCATATTTGTCATATTAAATTTCTAGGTGAGCTTTAAATTTGACTTAAATAGGTCTCAGAATACATAAAATTGCTTGCATTTATTATACATAAAATTTTATGTGTAATATGGGTTTATCCACTTTCCAAGAAGTAAAGCACAGTTTTCCATACGTACTAAATTCAGTCTCGTAGAGTGCTAGAGTATCTGGACTTAAACAGTACACAATACTACTGCAATCAAATCTAGAGAAAAGTATTAAAGTATTATGCAGAAGTTCACTGAAGTTCCCCTAAATAAACAAAATTATAATCCATCATACTCCATCATAATCAGTATCTAAGGGAGTCAAATTCTTAAAATGAATATTACCTCCAAGAGACAGAGATGAAGTTCTCACTGAGGCCCTCTAGTGGCAAAATCTAAACAAGACACTAAATTTACAAGCTTGAGGAAAAATCAGCATACACTAGGCCTTTGTTTTCAGAAAAGTTGATTGACAACCTGATATTAAAAATATAAATTGTGGAATAATTTTATTCATCCTTCAGAAAAAATTTTCATTTTGAAAAACTTCAAAGGCAAGTTTCCTTGAATGTCAATTCTCCTTTAGAAAAACTGAGTTGTCAAGTAACTTTTAGAGAATTGAATAATGATTCAAAGTAAACTACAAATGACAGCAACTTCTAGCTAAAAAAAAAATGGAAAGGACATAGTTGTATTTATTTTCTCTTTTTAAAAAAATAATATTTCTTAACAACTTCAGATTGGTAGTTTCCTCTAGTTTTTAAATACTTGCAGTGTAAAAGCTTCCCTATTCCAGAATGTTAAAATCCTTCTGGATCAGGACATTCTTTTATCTTGAAGACATTCTTTTATGTTATAACTTAGATCCATTTGGAAACAGTATCAGTGACATCAACATTTTATATAACAGAAAACCAAAAGTAGGAGATATAAAATAAGAAAGACATTCTCATGACTTTGGCATTCTTTGCATGATAGTAAACAAATGATTTAGATAGGCACTAACTTGTATAATTTATTTTTAATATGATTACTGATACTGTGTACGTAATTTTCCATTAAACAGGTGTCTCCTTCCATAACGAGGAAAGTCAAACAACTACAATTTTTTCTAACAATAGATAGAAACAAGTGATAAATAAAGTGAAAGTCTAAAGACAAGCCCATCTCATAAATATTAATTCATAAGTCTCTATCCTATCTCCAGTCCAAAGTATGTATATTTTGAAGATTTGCTCAAAAAAAAACAAAAAACAGCCAACTGTTTCCTACCAAATGAATCCCTGCTGACATTAAAATATTTTTATTAGAATAGTACAAAAAAGGTATAAAACGAGCAAGCAAAAGCCTCACGCTCACCACTTCATGTTCCCTGCATCACTGCCTTAAAGAACCACATTACAGTTTCTGGTGATTCCAGGAAAAACAAAAATTTAAGGTTTTAAGACAATGTGCTAAAGGTAAAACAGGCTGTCTTTGCTTTAGCGTAGACTAGAGCAACGTCGGTAAGCATTATTACTAAGAGAGGATTAAAGAGTCACAGAGCTGCAAGGAACCTTACATATGATATAGCCTGACTCTCATTTTAAACACGAGAAACTGGATACCATGGTGGTTAAATGTCCAAGGTCACAGCAGGTCAGTGTCAGGACTGGAACTAAAATCTATATGTTATTCACAGCAGCAATTCCCCCTCTCCCACCCCAATAAACATGTTATCAATATTAATTGAATCCAAGAGTAAGGAAGACATTAAAAAGTTTTACCTTCTATAAGCATGATATTTGACTTTGGTTCTCTCAAGTAATTAATTACAAAGCGTAAGAGAATAATATCAATTATTTCTTACTTAGTATTGACCTTAGAAAATGTGTCATACCACTTCCTTTTATTGTTATCAAAAGTTAGAAAACCCTCACGTTAGAAAAAAATGAAGATATAAGATATAAGAAGGGTCAATCACTGCAGATATTGAAAGTCCCTTTTACGTGGTTTAGAATCATCCTCGAAAAATAGAAGCTTTTTGTTAGCTTGACCTATACTCGTGCCCCTTCTGAGATTCAACACCACGTCACAAGTCTGGGTAGATAGCTGACTGAGTGAAAACTAGTTAAGGCAAAACTCACCACCAACATGTCATTAGATAAATAGATGCCAACAATTGTTCTTTGGATTAAATAATTCCTGGGAAATGTATATGAAATGCTGTCACTGTTAGAAGTCATAAAGAACGGTATATGTAAAGTTACGTAACTTAATGCTGCTTCCTTTGATGCAAAAATAAACAATCCAAAGATGAGAGGGTGGAGTTAGAGGGAACATGATGAATTGCTTGGGAAAACAACACTCTTTTATAATGTTATATTAATAAATTATGATTTTATATCTAAGTTTTTGTATCTACAATCACCTTCACAGAGTTGTAATCAATATTAAAACCCTAAAACAGGGCTTCCCAGGTAGAGCAATGGTTAAGAGTCCGCCTGCTGATGCAGGCGGCACGGGTTCATGCCCCAGTCCAGGAGGATCCCACATGCTGCGGAGCGGCTGGGCCCGTGAGCCATGGCCGCTGATCCTGCGCATCCGGAGCCTGTGCTCCGCAACGGGAGAGGCTACAACAGTGAGAGGCCCGCGTACCGCAAAAAAAAAAAAGAACCAAACAAAAAAAAAACCCTAAAACAATCTTGAAACATTAAAGCCCAGAACACTATGGCACAGTGGCTAAGTGCATGGGCTCTGACATATGTGATTTCCTAGGTTTTCCCAGGTGGCTAACTAACTAACTATGGGACCTTGGGCAAGTTATTTAACTCTCTGTGTCTCAGTTTCCCTAATGGGTAAAATAGGAATAATAATAGTCCCAACTTCATATGATTGTTTTAAGGATTAAATCAGACATATAGACCTTAGAAGAGCACCTGGCACTTTGTAAACACTCAGTAAATGTTAGCTATAATAATTATTATGATTTTTAATATGTAGATAAATACCTTTAACTCATGTTTTAACCATTTTTCATTTAAATGTTTTTAATTATCCAGTAACTTTAGTTTTATAGCTTCTTAGGCTTCAAGTTAACTACAATACACGGTACCCTTTTATTTCAATTAATTGATGGTCAAAGGTTAAAAAAAGACAAGGAACTAGAATATTTGGGCCCATAAGAGAATGTAACATGCTATTTTTTCTTCCGAATGTTTCCTTAATGAAACAGATATCCGGATAAATTAAAATATTACTTAAGGTGCCTTATATTTTCTGACTTAAAATCTACTGCTTAGTTTAAATACTGTCTATAATAGATCAACTCACAGCTCACAGAAATTTGGCTTTGGCCTGGGATGGGGTGGGGTGAGGAGGGTGAGATCCAATAATCTATGCAATGTGAGCTAAAAACTTCAAGGATTAGCTATATTCTAAAAGTGGAGAGAAAATGCCACACTGGTAGTCTTACATCCTACTTCTTACATTCCACAAACAACAACAGGTATCCAGACTCATGCCATAGTGTGTGTACTCCATGAATCAGAAAGAGCAAACCAAAAGTTCAAACCTACTGAAGGTCCTGGCTTTCCTCTCAACCCTGGTGGTCCAGGAAAACCCCTAGCGCCCTAAAAGAAAAGAACAGTACAGTGAAGAGAAAAACTACTATATGACAGAAGGCAGATACGCCTCTATTTACAAATTACTAAAAAAATTCATGGAATTATTCTAAAATAATAGAGAAAACTGTTTTAAACAAGACTTGTGAAACCACATTGACACCATATCCTAAAAAAATATAATCAATGATTAAAATAATGAGTATTCCTTTCTTTATAAAGAATTTATACATTTTCACTGGCTTTTGTTGTATTTATATAAAATTAACGGTAAAAACATTACCTTGTCTCCAGGATACCCTGGTTCTCCTGGCTCTCCCACAATGCCTTGTTCACCCTGGAGAGCACAATTTCATGTGAAGACACTTAAGCAATGCAAATGTGGCAATATTATAAGAAGGCAAACACTAGTTATACAAGAGTAATTTCTCTATTTTTCCTACTTCTGAGAAAAATTATATAATTGATAGTACAGATTAGATCCCATATTTTTTAAAACAAGTATTTTATAAGTTGTGTGGATTCAAAAGAAAAGTAAATGTGATAAGAAATCATCTCTATGACAATGTAAATATTTAAATCACCTTATCACCTTTGATTCCAGGTAGGCCCTTATTCCCCGAAAGACCCTAAAAAAGAAAGTGATACTTTGTGACATCATAGAAAAATCAAAGTGAAATATCCATTATAAAAATAGCAACATACCATTGGGCCAGACATTCCAGAAGGTCCAACTGGTCCCATAGGGCCAACACTGCCCTGAAAAGCAATAAGAAAGAAAGGCATCCTTGAGCACCCAACTAGAATTAAAAAGAGAACATGGTAAACTTAATTAACCCAGAATGGTTCATCTCACTAAGCTCCCACACATGCCTTATTCTTCAACAACTTCTTTTCTTTCTCACATTTATAAATCATACCAATCATTCAAATTTTAATGAGGTTTATCCTGTTTCCTGACGCCTACTCATATGGATCTTGTCCACGAGCCTCCTTCCCTTCCTTGAGCTCCTATAATGCTTACTACCCACAACATTCATTTTGAAGTATTTCTCCAGAGAGATAGTATCTTGATGATAGGGGAAATACTTTAGTGCCATGTTCCCAGGAAGTATTCAATAAATACTTCATTTGATTGTCTTAGATTTTTCTTTCACCCGTTTATTCAGCAAACATTTATTGGGCAGTTACTATGTGCCAGGCATTCCAATGATTTTATTTCATGATTTACAACTTGCAGACAATAAAATTTACCATAATTTTAGGGAACTGAGTAGTAAACAAAAGGCTCTGCTCTTCTGGGTTTCTCTCATTCATTCATCATTTAATATTTATTGAGCATAATATGTATCAAACATTGTAGTATTGTATAGTAGTGTTGAGGAAACAAACATGAAAGAGACATAGACACCAATGTCAAGGTTTTCAATTTAATGCCCCAAAGCAAGATTACTCAAAAACATTAACTACCACTATCATCTCCTGCAAGCAACAGACCTAGAAAAACTTCTTTAATATGTCATCTTAGAATGTAAAGAACAATTTATAAGGGTTTTTCAAAGTAAAATTTTAAAAAATAGTGGAAATCTCTTGACTGTTTGGAGCCCACTAAATTTTTGTGTTATTGATGCCTTCATTTTCCTTCTTTCTCTTGCAACCTCTCTGTGCCTGGCTAACGTATCTTCCTTCATCTTCAAATACCGAGTTGCTTTAAACCTCCATTTCATGCTTTCCAAATGTTAAGGAACTTTTAAAGGTGTATTTGCAGCAATGGTGAAAATGTTGCCCTTTTTAGTTGTAATCCAAACTTCTTAGGATAGCATCCCAGGCCCTTACTACTAGTTTTCTCTCAACCCTTTCAGTCTCATGTCCTTCCATTCGTCCCTACTCCCCTTTGACTTCTTCCTCCTCCAAACCCAACATTCTAGACACAATGGGCTGTGTTCTAGCCTCTGAACATGCTCTCCCCTACCACATGCTCCAACCCTTTGAAGATACAGTTACCACTACTGGAATGTCCTTCTTACGGTACTGAGAATACTGCCCTGTTTTTGGTCTTTTGTTTTCTTTTTTCTATTTTCCTAATCTGTGCATTATGTGAGAGCAGAAGCATGTTTTATTCATTTTTTATATCTCTGACCCAACATAATAACTGGCGCATAATAGTTTTGAAATAAACTATGGAATGAACACTGGAGGAAGTAATCAACTTCAAAAATAAATTTAAAACAGTGATTGCCAGAGGTCTACATCCTGACATAATGGCCCATTTCTAATAGTCCACATTTATATAACTACAAATTTCAGAATGGAAAATATGACATTTTTACTTTGGGGTGAGTCTTAAAGTCTGTGAAATATAACTACTATATATTTCCAACACGTGTAAGCCTGAAATACATGAGACTGCGAGAGGCAGAGTAATACTTTCCAACTTAATGAACAGACAAGCAGTATTAATACATCATTGACAAATTCTATCAATAGAAAATAATTATTCTTATAATTACAGTGGCTAGTTTATTCAAAGTTCATAGATTTAAAACTTATGATAGTTTAAAAAATACAGGGCTCTCGCCTGCGGAGACTGGTGGAGTCAGGCAGGAAGCTTTAAAGCAGTTTCATGCCGGGCCTTACCCCAGATTTTCTGATTTGATTCCTCCCCAGTGAGGCCCAGCGTCAGTTCAAGATTCCCACGTGATTCCATTGCAGGCTGAGAGTCAAAGTCTAAGCAAAATGACCTTGAAGTCCTTTCACAGAGGACCAGAGAGTAGTTTGGAAAAGGACCAAATATTCTGAAGCCCTGGTCTATAGTGTGGTATGTTTCTTTGTATGATTTTGTCTATTTAGGTTTGCTTTTACCATTTGTCCTAGGGTTCTGACTGTTCGTTTTTTGTTGTTGTTGTTGTTGTTTGTTTTCTTCTTATGAGTGTGTGTATACGTTTATTTGTGTGATTTTGTCTGTTTAGTTTTGCTTTTACCATTTGGTTTGGGGTTCTATTGTTCGTGCATTTTTCTTTTTTTTTCCTTCATTTTTCTTCCTTTTCTTCTGACCCATGTGGGTGGCAGGGTCTTGGTGCTCCAGCCAGGTGTCAGGTCTGAGCCTCCAAAGTGGGAGAACCAAGTCCAGGACACTGGACCACCAGCGACCTCCTGGCCCCAAGTAATATCATTCGGTGAGAGCTCTCCCAGAGATCTCTGTCTAAACACTAAGACTCAGCTCCAACTAACAGCCAGCAAGCTCCAGTGCTGGATGCACCATGCCAAACAACCAGCAAGATAGGAACACAACCCCACCTACTAGCAGAGAGGCCACCTAAAGTCATACTAAGTCCACAGATACCCCAAAATTCACCACTGGACGTGGCCCTGCCGACCAGAAGAACAAGATCCAGCCCCACCCACCAGAACACAGGGACCAGTCCCCTCCGCCAGGAAGCCTACACAAGCCACTGAACCAATCTCACAACTAGGGGTCAGACACCAAAAATAACAGGAACTAGAACCTGCAGCCTGTGAAAAAGAGATGCCCAATACAGTAAGTTGAACAAAATGAGAAGAAAGAGACATATGCAGCAGATGAAGGAGCAACGTAAAAACCCACCAGACCAAACAAATGAAGAGGAAATAGGCAGTCTACTGGAAGAAGAATTCAGAGTAATGAAAGTAAAGATGATCCAAAATCTTGGAAGTAGAATGCAGAAAATACAAAAAGCATTTAACAAGGATTTAGAAGAATTAAAGAGCAAATAAAGAATGATGAACAACAAAATAAATGAAATTAAAAATTCTCTAGAAGGAATCAATAGCAGAATAAATGAGGCAGAAGACCAGATAAGTGACCTGGAAGATAAAATTGTGGACATAACTACCACAGAGCAGAATAAAGAAAAAAGAATGAAAAGAATTGAGGACAGTCTCAGAGACCTTTGGGACAATATTATATGCACCAACATTCGAATTATAGGGGTCACAGAAGAAGAAGAGAAAAAGAAAGGGTCTGAGAAAATATCTGAGGAGAGTATACTTGCAAACCTCCTTAACAGGGGAAAGGAAATAGTCGATCAAGTCCAGGAAGTGGAGAGAGTCACATACAGGAGAAATCCAAGGAGAAACATGCTAACACACACATTAATCAAACTATCAAAAATTAAATACAAAGAAAAGATATTAAAAGCAACAAGGGACAAGCCAAAAAAATATATACAAGGGAATTCCCATAAGGTTAACAGCTGAACTTTCAGCAGAGACTCTGCAAGCCAGCAGGGAGTGGCAGGACATATTTAAAGTGACTAAGGGAAAAACCTACAACCAAGATTACTCTACCCAGCAAGGATCTCATTCAGATTCGATGGAGAAATTAAAACCTTTACAAACAAGCAAAAGTTAAGAGCACCACCAAACCAATTTTACAACAAATGCTAAAGGCACTTCTCTAGGTGGTAAACACAAGAGAAGGAAAAAACAAAAACAAACCCAAAACAATTAAGAAAATGGTAATAGGAACATACATATCGATAATTACCTTAAATGTAAATGGTTTAATTGCTCCAACCAAAACACACTGACTGGCTGAATGGATACAAAAACAAGACCCATATATATGCTGTCTACAAGAGACCGACTTGAGACCTAGGGACACATACAGACTGAAAGTGAGGGGATGGAAAAAGATATTCCATCCAAATGGAAATCAAAAGAAAGCTGGAGTAGCAATACTCATATCAGAAAAAATAGACTTTAAAATAAAGACTGTTATAAAGAACAAAGAAGGATATGACATAATTATCAAGGAATCGGTCCAAGAAGAAGGTATATCAATTTTGAATACTTATGCACCCAACACAGGAGCACCTCAATACATAAGGCAAATGTTAACAGCCCTAAAAGGGGAAATCGACAGTAACACTGTAATAGAAGGGGACTTTAACACCCCACTTCCACAAATGGACAGATCATCCAAAATGAAAATAAATAAGGAAACACAAGCTTTAAATGATACATTAGACCAGATGGACTTAAATGATATTTATAGGACATTCCACCAAAAACAACAGAATACACTTTCTTCTCAAGTGCTCAAGGAACATTCTCCAGTATAGATCATATGTTGGGTCACCAAATGAGCCTTGGTACACTTAAGAAAATTGAATTGTATCAAGTATATTTTCCTACAACAACACAATTACAGGAAAAAAAACCTGGAAATAATACAAACCCATCGAGGCTAAACAATACACAACTAAATAGCCAAGAGATCACTGAAGAAATCAAAAAGGATATCAAAATATACCTAGAAACAAATGGCAATGAAAACATGATGACCCAAAACCTATGGAATGCAGCAAAAGCAATTCTAAGAGGGAAGTTTAGAGCTATACAATCCTACCTCAGGAAACAAGAGACATCTCAAATAAACAACCTCACCTTACACCTAAAGCAACTAGAGAAAGAAGAACAAAGAAAACCCAAAGTCAATAGAAGGAAAGAAATCATAAAGATAAGAGCAGAAATAAATGAAAAAGAAATGAAGGAAACAATAGCAAAGTCAATAAAACTAAAAGCTGGATATCTGGGAAGATAAACAAAATTGATAAACCACTAGCCAGAAAAGGGAGAACACTCAAATCAATAGAATTAGAAATGAAAAAGAAGTAAGAACTGACTCGGCAGAAATACAAAGGATCATGAAAGATTACTACAATCAACTCTATGCCAATAAAATGGACAACCTGGAAGAAATGCACAAATTCTTAGAA